AATTAAATATTTTATCTCGTTTAACCTAGTGTTCTGCCACAACTGTGTTCGCTTATTAAAGGTTGTATGCAGATTGAATGAGTTGTTAACTTCAATAGTATCACTAGTTTTCCCTAGACATCGAAATCGAGCCCTAGTGTGTTGTTGAGTTAGTGTTCATTCATTTAGGCTTTAAGTCATTTGCATATAACCCCAAAAAAGAATCCGGGGGCGTTCACCATCTATCTGGCTGGTAGATAGGTGTCCGTTACAACTACACCTGGATGTGAACAAACCTGACTTAAGGCGACTCGGCTCCTGACTACACCTGGATGTGAACAAACCTGACTTAAGGCGACTCGGCTCCTGACTACACCTGGATGTGAACAAACCTGACTTAAGGCGACTCGGCCTAGTTCCTGACTACACCTGGATGTGAACAAACCTGACTTAAGGCGACTCGGCTCCTGACTACACCTGGATGTGAACAAACCTGACTTAAGGCGACTCGGCCTAGTTCCTGACTACACCTGGATGTGAACAAACCTGACTTATGGCGACTCGGCTCCTGACTACACCTGGATGTGAACAAACCTGACTTAAGGCGACTCGGCTACTGACTACACCTGGATGTGAACAAACCTGACTTAAGGCGACTCGGCCTAGTTCCTGACTACACCTGGATGTGAACAAACCTGACTTAAGGCGACTCGGCTACTGACTACACCTGGATGTGAACAAACCTGACTTATGGCGACTCGGCTCCTGACTACACCTGGATGTGAACAAACCTGACTTAAGGCGACTCGGCCTAGTTCCTGACTACACCTGGATGTGAACAAACCTGACTTAAGGCGACTCGGCCTAGTTCCTGACTACACCTGGATGTGAACAAACCTGACTTAAGGCGACTCGGCTCCTGACTACACCTGGATGTGAACAAACCTGACTTAAGGCGACTCGGCCTAGTTCCTGACTACACCTGGATGTGAACAAACCTGACTTATGGCGACTCGGCTCCTGACTACACCTGGATGTGAACAAACCTGACTTAAGGCGACTCGGCTCCTGGCTACACCTGGATGTGAACAAACCTGACTTAAGGCGACTCGGCTCCTGACTACACCTGGATGTGAACAAACCTGACTTAAGGAGACTCGGCTCCTGACTACACCTGGATGTGAACAAACCTGACTTAAGGAGACTCGGCTCCTGACTACACCTGGATGTGAACAAACCTGACTTAAGGCGACTCAGCTCCTGACTACACCTGGATGTGAACAAACCTGTCTTAAGGCGACTCGGCTCCTGACTACACCTGGATGTGAACAAACCTGACTTAAGGCGACTCGGCTCCTGACTACACCTGGATGTGAACAAACCTGACTTAAGGCGACTCGGCTCCTGACTACACCTGGATGTGAACAAACCTGACTTTAGGCGACTCGGCCTAGTTCCTGACTACACCTGGATGTGAACAAACCTGACTTAAGGCGACTCGGCTCCTGACTACACCTGGATGTGAACAAACCTGACTTATGGCGACTCGGCCTAGTTCCTGACTACACCTGGATGTGAACAAACCTGACTTAAGGCGACTCGGCCTAGTTCCTGACTACACCTGGATGTGAACAAACCTGACTTAAGGAGACTCGGCCTAGTTCCTGACTACACCTGGATGTGAACAAACCTGACTTAAGGCGACTCGGCTCCTGACTACACCTGGATGTGAACAAACCTGACTTAAGGCGACTCGGCTCCTGACTACACCTGGATGTGAACAAACCTGACTTAAGGCGACTCGGCTCCTGACTACACCTGGATGTGAACAAACCTGACTTAAGGCGACTCGGCTCCTGACTACACCTGGATGTGAACAAACCTGACTTAAGGCGACTCGGCTCCTGACTACACCTGGATGTGAACAAACCTGAATTAAGGCGACTCGGCTCCTGACTACACCTGGATGTGAACAAACCTGACTTAAGGCGACTCGGCTCCTGACTACACCTGGATGTGAACAAACCTGACTTAAGGCGACTCGGCTCCTGACTACACCTGGATGTGAACAAACCTGACTTAAGGCGACTCGGCCTAGTTCCTGGCTACACCTGGATGTGAACAAACCTGACTTATGGCGACTCGGCTCCTGACTACACCTGGATGTGAACAAACCTGACTTAAGGCGACTCGGCTCCTGACTACACCTGGATGTGAACAAACCTGACTTAAGGCGACTCGGCTCCTGACTACACCTGGATGTGAAGAAACCTGACTTAAGGCGACTCGGCCTAGTTCCTGTCTACACCTGGATGTGAACAAACCTGACTTAAGGCGACTCGGCTACTGACTACACCTGGATGTGAACAAACCTGACTTAAGGCGACTCGGCTCCTGACTACACCTGGATGTGAACAAACCTGACTTAAGGCGACTCGGCTCCTGACTACACCTGGATGTGAACAAACCTGACTTAAGGCGACTCGGCTCCTGACTACACCTGGATGTGAACAAACCTGACTTAAGGCGACTCGGCTCCTGACTACACCTGGATGTGAACAAACCTGACTTAAGGCGACTCGGTCTAGTTCCTGGCTACACCTGGATGTGAACAAACCTGACTTATGGCGACTCGGCTCCTGACTACACCTGGATGTGAACAAACCTGACTTAAGGCGACTCGGCTCCTGACTACACCTGGATGTGAACAAACCTGACTTAAGGCGACTCGGCTCCTGACTACACCTGGATGTGAACAAACCTGACTTAAGGCGACTCGGCTACTGACTACACCTGGATGTGAACAAACCTGACTTAAGGCGACTCAGCTCCTGACTACACCTGGATGTGAACAAACCTGACTTAAGGCTACTCGGCCTAGTTCCTGACTACACCTGGATGTGAACAAACCTGACTTAAGGCGACTCAGCTCCTGACTACACCTGGATGTGAACAAACCTGACTTAAGGCGACTCGGTCTAGTTCCTGACTACACCTGGATGTGAACAAACCTGACTTATCTCATGGAAAATAGACCACAATTGACATATTTTAACTTTGAACTAATATTTTGTGCTCTTAGTAAACACTTCTTTTGAAAGTTGTGTTGATTCTAAATGGAATGAAAAAATAACTGACAAGTTTTGTGTTGATGCAAACTTGAAGCCGAGCATTACTCATGGCATAAGTATCAAATCTATTTGATATTTACAATTGAATGCTAGAATTTTTAAGGTAACCATGCGGATGTTTATAGATTTTAGTTGTAAGTCAAATTTTGCATTCTTATTTTCACAATATAATTTTATTTTTGTATTTTTGGTTATCATGTTATACATTTTTATTTTTTTTCATTTGTGAATACAAGGTTAAAGAATCTTGTGGGTTATAAATTCACTGTCACTTGTATTTGTATAGTTGCTGCAATCTCATTCAATTCATTGAAAACCATCAGTGAAATGATATTTTAGTCAGTGGCGACTGACAGTGGCAACCATTTTCTATTCCACCCCCCATTCAACTCCTGGGCTATGTCAAGTAGAGTGCTACTTCTAGATACTGGGCCATGTCAAGTACAGTGCTACTTCTAGATACCGGGCCATGTCAAGTACAGTGCTACTTCTAGATACCGGGCCATGTCAAGTAGAGTGCTACTTCTAGATACCGGGCCATGTCAAGTACAGTGCTACTTCTAGATACCGGGCCATGTCAAGTAGAGTGCTACTTCTAGTTACCGGTTGAATTAGTTCGTTGCCTGGCCATGTCAAGTACAGTGCTACTTCTAGATACTGGGCCATGTCAAGTACAGTGCTACTTCTAGATACCGGGCCATGTCAAGTACAGTGCTACTTCTAGATACCAGGCCATGTCAAGTACAGTGCTACTTCTAGATACCGGGCCATGTCAAGTACAGTGCTACTTCTAGATACCGGGCCATGTCAAGTAGAGTACTACTTCTAGATACCGGGCCATGTCAAGTACAGAGCTACTTCTAGATACCGGGCCATGTCAAGTACAGTGCTACTTCTAGATACCGGGCCATGTCAAGTACAGTGCTACTTCTAGATACCGGGCCATGTCAAGTAGAGTGCTACTTCTAGATACCGGGCCATGTCAAGTACAGTGCTACTTCTAGATACTGGGCCATGTCAAGTACAGTGCTACTTCTAGATACCGGGCCATGTCAAGTAGAGTGCTACTTCTAGATACCGGGCCATGTCAAGTAGAGTGCTACTTCTAGATACCGGGCCATGTCAAGTACAGTGCTACTTCTAGATACCGGGCCATGTCAAGTACAGTGCTACTTCTAGATACCGGGCCATGTCAAGTACAGTGCTACTTCTAGATACTGGGCCATGTCAAGTACAGTGCTACTTCTAGATACCGGGCCATGTCAAGTAGAGTGCTACTTCTAGATACCGGGCCATGTCAAGTAGAGTGCTACTTCTAGATACCGGGCCATGTCAAGTAGAGTGCTACTTCTAGATACCGGGCCATGTCAAGTAGAGTGCTACTTCTAGATACCGGGCCATGTCAAGTAGAGTGCTACTTCTAGATACCGGTTGAATTAGTTTGTTGCTGGGCATGTCAAATAGCTCATATCTCAAATGAATTTTCTCCATTGAAATGCCATTAATGATCAATTTAATCTGTTCCAGCCCCCAAAATGCCACCTAAAAAGGTTTTGATAAACCGAAAGCAGTAACTTCACCACACATAATTGAACCTAAATGTTACCATATATAATGTTTTGTGACTTACGCTTAGTTTTTAGCACAGCCTTTTTCTTTGCTGATCTTTTGTTTTTTGCCACTTCAAGTCAACCAGTCCTAGAACGCAGGTGTCATTAAATAGCTCAGATGCACAATCAGTTGCACAATCAGATGCACAATCAGTTGCACAATCAGATGCAAAATCAGTTGCACTTTCGCAGATGTTTCTTTCCCACAAACTGTTAAACTTGCTAATCCGGTTACTCGTAGCTCAAATTTTGCTCTTAAAAAAATCTCTACATCTGAGCACTCATATATCAAGGGACCACTTTATTTCTTTACAAATTACTATAAAATAAAAAGAATTGAATAATCTTTACTAAATAAAAAGTTGTAAAACAGATTGTATTCAATGTTTAAAAGAAATTTCTTATTACAAGCAGATATCTTTACATATCCTCTGTACTCCACTTGTAGGCCAACTCTTGAGTGGCCTTCTTGTTGGCCAGGCTGGCAAATATTTTGTTTTCAAAGCCATTGGAGCGGTTAACACCATCCCACCTGTACCCTGGGGGGATGTTGTAGCGGTTTGGTGGCGGTGCAGGCCCTTTGTATCTGGGTAGCTCTGTAGACCCAAGGTGACAAGATAAGGTGACATGGTCCCATGACAAATGATCCCAAGACAAATGATCCCATGACAAATGATCCCAAGACAAATGGTCCCAAGACAAATGATCCCATGACAAATGATCCCATGACAAATGATCCCATGACAAATGATCCCAAGACAAATGATCCCATGACAAATGATCCCATGACAATTGATCCCATGACAAATGATCCCAAGACAAATGATCCCATGACAAATGATCCCAAGACAAATGATCCCAAGACAAATGATCCCATGACAAATGATCCCATGACAAATGATCCCATGACAAATGATCCCATGACAAATGATCCCATGACAAATGATTCCAAGACATATTGTGAGATATTTTGTCCTGATATGTTTTGTCCATTAGAAAAGTTGTCTGGGATATTTTGTATGAGATCATTTGTCCTGTCACCAGTGACATGGCTAACAGGGTGACACTAATAACATGGCTAACAGGATGACACTAATAACATGGCTAACAGGATGACACTAATAACATGGCTAACAGGATGACATTAATAACATGGCTAACAGGATGACACTAATAACATGGCTAACAGGATGACACTAATAACATGGCTAACAGGATGACACTAATAACATGGCTAACAGGATGACACTAATAACATGGCTAACAGGGTGACACTAATAACATGGCTAACAGGATGACACTAATAACATGGCTAACAGGATGACACTAATAACATGGCTAACAGGATGACACTAATAACATGGCTAACAGGGTGACACCAGTAACATGGCTAACAGGATGACACTAATAACATGGCTAACAGGATGACACTAATAACATGGCTAACAGGATGACACTAATAACATGGCTAACAGGGGAGGTCATGGAAATGCTTACAAGATAAGAAAGAAGAGAAAGAAATGCTTACAAGGACAAAAATAAGTGGAAGAAATGCTTACAAGGTTAGGAATAAGAGGAAGAAATGCATACAAGGTCAGGAATAAGAGAAAGAAATGCTTATAAGGTGAGGAATAAGTGGAAGAAATGCTTACAAGGTCAGAAATAAGAGGAAGAAATGCTTACAAGATCAGGAATAAAAGGAAGAAATGCTTACAAGGTCAGAAATAAGAGGAGGAAATGCTTACAAGGTCAGGAATAAGAGGAAGAAAAGCTTACAAGGTCAGGAAAAAGAGGAAGAATTGCTTACCATTTCTTTTGCTTTTTTCACATTTGTCCTCCACCTTCTTCTTTTGACTTTGAATGTAGGCCAACATGGGGTCATCTGCCCTCTCTTCCTCTCTTAACATCTTGTCCAGGTCCTTATCATCAGCATAGCGGGCCAGCGGCTTAGAGGCTTCATGGAGATCATCTTCAAGCCTGGCTTCCCTATCTGCTTGCTGCTTGACACTGGATAAGTAGAGTAGGGTTTAAACTTCATTGTGACCAATGATACACTTGGATTTAAACTTCATTGTGACCAATGATACACACACTTGGGTTTAAACTTCATTGTGACCAATGATACACTTGGGTTTAAACTTCATTGTGACAAATGATACACTTGGGTTTAAACTTCATTGTGACAAATGATACACTTGGGTTTAAACTTCATTGTGACAAATGATACACTTGGGTTTAAACTTCATTGTGACAAATGATACACACACTTGGGTTTAAACTTCATTGTGACAAATGATACACTTGGGTTTAAACTTCATTGTGACAAATGATACACTTGGGTTTAAACTTCATTGTGACAAATGATACACTTGGGTTTAAACTTCATTGTGACAAATGATACACTAAGGTTTAAACTACATTGTAACTTATAATTGAAACCAGATTCTGAAATTAAGGTGGCAGGTCAAGTTTCTAATACAGACCCATGGAGAGGAACAAGACAGACACCCATGACAGTGCAAATAAGGAGAAAGGGTGGGGCACACACTGTGAAAGGTTAACTCAAATGTGTCTCAAGAAATTCCATATTAAGGTGCTTGAGTCAAACCCCTAGGGTAGGCAAAAAACAGGCCTGGAGGCGGAGTCTAGAACTGAAGACAGCAGGGGTGTCTTGGGAGGCTGCATAAGTGAACAGTTTGGGACCAGACAACATAAAAGATTAAGGTTGAGACCCTATTCTCCACAAGGGGTAAAAGGGATCAAGCCAAGTCAATCAAGTGAAGATAGTAGCTACTCATTGATTTAAGGTTCAATTGAAGATAGTAGCTACTCATTGATTTAAGGTTCAAGTGAAGATAGTAGCTACTGATTGATTTAAGGTTCAAGTGAAGATAGTAGCTACTGATTGATTTAAGGTTCAAGTGAAGATAGTAGCTACTGATTGATTTAAGGTTCAAGTGAAGATAGTAGCTACTCATTGATTTAAGGTTCAAGTGAAGATAGTAGCTACTCATTGATTTAAGGTTCAAGTGAAGATAGTAGCTACTCATTGATTTAAGGTTCAAGTAAAGATAGTAGCTACTCATTGATTTAAGGTTCAAGTGAAGATAGTAGCTACTCATTGATTTAAGGTTCAAGTGAAGATAGTAGCTACTCATTCATTTAAGGTTCAAGTAAAGATAGTAGCTACTCATTGATTTAAGGTTCAAGTGAAGATAGTAGCTACTCATTGATTTAAGGTTCAAGTAAAGATAGCAGCTACTCATTGATTTAAGGTTCAAGTGAAGATAGTAGCTACTCATTGATTTAAGGTTCAAGTAAAGATAGTAGCTACTCATTGATTTAAGGTTCAAGTAAAGATAGTAGCTACTCATTGATTTAAGGTTCAAGTGAAGATAGTAGCTACTCATTGATTTAAGGTTCAAGTGAAGATAGTAGCTACTCATTCATTTAAGGTTCAAGTAAAGATAGTAGCTACTCATTGATTTAAGGTTCAAGTGAAGATAGTAGCTACTCATTGATTTAAGGTTCAAGTAAAGATAGCAGCTACTCATTGATTTAAGGTTCAAGTGAAGATAGTAGCTACTCATTGATTTAAGGTTCAAGTAAAGATAGTAGCTACTCATTGATATAAGGTTCAAGTGAAGATAGTAGCTACTCATTGATTTAAGGTTCAAGTGAAGATAGTAGCTACTCATTGATTTAAGGTTCAAGTGTAGATAGTAGCTACTCATTGATTTAAGGTTCAAGTGAAGATAGTAGCTATTCATTGATTTAAGGTTCAAGTGAAGATAGTAGCTACTCATTGATTTAAGGTTCAAGTGAAGATAGTAGCTACTCAATGATTTAAGGTTCAAGTGAAGATAGTAGCTATTCATTGATTTAAGGTTCAAGTGAAGATAGTAGCTACTCATTGATTTAAGATTCATGTAAAGATAGTAGCTACTCATTGATTTAAGGTTCAAGTGAAGATAGTAGCTACTCATTGATTTAAGGTTCAAGTAAAGATAGTAGCTACTCATTGATTTAAGGTTCAAGTGAAGATAGTAGCTACTCATTGATTTAAGGTTCAAGTAAAGATAGTAGCTACACATTGATTTAAGGTTCAAGTAAAGATAGTAGCTACTCATTGATTTAAGGTTCAAGTAAAGATAGTAGCTACTCATTGATTTAAGGTTCAAGTAAAGATAGTAGCTACTCATTGATTTAAGGTTCAAGTGAAGATAGTAGCTACTCATTGATTTAAGGTTCAAGTAAAGATAGTAGCTACTCATTGATTTAAGGTTCAAGTAAAGATAGTAGCTACTCATTGATTTAAGGTTCAAGTAAAGATAGTAGCTACTCATTGATTTAAGGTTCAAGTAAAGATAGTAGCTACTCATTGATTTAAGGTTCAAGTGAAGATAGTAGCTACTCATTGATTTAAGGTTCAAGTAAAGATAGTAGCTACTCATTGATTTAAGGTTCAAGTAAAGATAGTAGCTACTCATTGATTTAAGGTTCAAGTGAAGATAGTAGCTACTCATTGATTTAAGGTTCAAGTAAAGATAGTAGCTACTGATTGATTTAAGGTTCAAGTAAAGATAGTAGCTACTGATTGATTTATGGTTAAAGTAAAGATAGTAGCTACTCATTGATTTAAGGTTCAAGTAAAGATAGTAGCTACACATTGATTTAAGGTTCAAGTAAAGATAGTAGCTACTCATTGATTTAAGGTTTAAGTAAAGATAGTAGCTACTCATTGATTTAAGGTTCAAGTAAAGATAGTAGCTACTCATTGATTTAAGGTTCAAGTGAAGATAGTAGCTACTCATTGATTTAAGGTTCAAGTGAAGATAGTAGCTACTCATTGATTTAAGGTTCAAGTGAAGATAGTAGCTACTCATTGATTTAAGGTTCAAGTAAAGATAGTAGCTACTCATTGATTTAAAAATAAAATAAAAAATAACACACCCTTTTCCCCATCGTTGATATTTTTTATTTGTCTCCTCTTTTCTCTTCTCCTCCTCCTGCTTTCTCTCCTCCTCCTCTTTGAGGTTTCTTCTTCTGCCTGTCTCTTTGTCTCTGAATACAGTCTTAGAGTTTTTACCCAGCAACTCAGACCCAATCTGGTGTAAAAAAAAAAACATGACATTAGAACAAACAAACAAATGACATTAAAACATTAGAACAAACAAACAAATGACATTAAGACATTAGAACAAACAAACAAATGACATTAAGACATTAGATCAAACAAACAAATGACATTAAGACATTAGAACAAACAAACAAATGACATTAAGACATTAGAACAAACAAACAAATGACATTAAGACATTAGAACAAACAAACAAATGACATTAAGACATTAGAACAAACAAACAAATGACATTAAGACATTAGAACAAACAAACAAATGACATTAAGACATTAGAACAAACAAGTACAAACAAACAAATGACATTAAGACATTAGAACAAACAAACACAAACAAGCAAATGACATTAAGACATTAGAACAAACAAACAAATGACATTAAGACATTAGAACAAACAAACACAAACAAACAAATGACATTAAGACATTAGAACAAACAACAAATGTTACAACAAAAATTAAAGAAATGACTGACCATCTGAAATGATTTATTTTCCTTCTCCCTGAGTTTTTGTGTTTCATCTTTCATTTCTTGAGCAGTTGATAAGCCAGCTTTGGCTCCGCCTAAAGTCTTTTTAGCTTTTTTACTTTCTCCATCTCTCTCACAGGGTGAAATCAACATAGCACGTTTTTTCCTGAAAGTTGGAGTTCAAATGACACAAAAAGAACATTTACAATGTTTGCTTCAGTCAAGTATGTGAAATAAGGCTCTTGGACATTCCCACCTCCCTCCCCTACCCCTTCTGAGCAACATACTAAACAACATGATTTCATCTGAAGACAGTCCCAACCATAAGGTGAAACATCTGTGAGAGAGTAGCAACAGGAAATGTTTACAACATCTGTGAGAGAGTAGCAACAGGAAATGTTTACATCTGTGAGAGAGTAGCAACAGGAAATGTTTACATCTGTGAGAGAGTAGCAACAGGAAATGTTTACATCTGTGAGAGAGTAGCAACAGGAAATGTTTACATCTGTGAGAGAGTAGCAACAGGAAATGTTTACAACATCTGTGAGAGAGTAGCAACAGGAAATGTTTACAACATCTGTGAGAGAGTAGCAACAGGAAATGTTTACAACATCTGCGAGAGAGTAGCAACAGGAAATGTTTACATCTGTGAGAGAGTAGCAACAGGAAATGTTTACAACATCTGTGAGAGAGTAGCAACAGGAAATGTTTACAACATCTGTGAGAGAGTAGCAACAGGAAATGTTTACATCTGTGAGAGAGTAGCAACAGGAAATGTTTACAACATCTGTGAGAGAGTAGCAACAGGAAATGTTTACAACATCTGTGAGAGAGTAGCAACAGGAAATGTTTACAACATCTGTGAGAGAGTAGCAACAGGAAATGTTTACAACATCTGTGAGAGACTAGCAACAGGAAATGTTTACATCTGTGAGAGAGTAGCAACAGGAAATGTTTACAACATCTGTGAGAGAGTAGCAACAGGAAATGTTTACAACATCTGTGAGAGAGTAGCAACAGGAAATGTTTACAACATCTGTGAGAGAGTAGCAACAGGAAATGTTTACATCTGTGAGAGAGTAGCAACAGGAAATGTTTACAACATCTGTGAGAGAGTAGCAACAGGAAATGTTTACAACATCTGTGAGAGAGTAGCAACAGGAAATGTTTACAACATCTTTGAGAGAGTAGCAACAGGAAATGTTTACATCTGTGAGAGAGTAGCAACAGGAAATGTTTACAACATCTGTGAGAGAGTAGCAACAGGAAATGTTTACATCTGTGAGAGAGTAGCAACAGGAAATGTTTACATCTGTGAGAGAGTAGCAACAGGAAATGTTTACATCTGTGAGAGAGTAGCAACAGGAAATGTTTACATCTGTGAGAGAGTAGCAACAGGAAATGTTTACAACATCTTTGAGAGAGTAGCAACAGGAAATGTTTACATCTGTGAGAGAGTAGCAACAGGAAATGTTTACAACATCTGTGAGAGAGTAGCAACAGGAAATGTTTACATCTGTGAGAGAGTAGCAACAGGAAATGTTTACAACATCTGTGAGAGAGTAGCAACAGGAAATGTTTACAACATCTGTGAGAGACTAGCAACAGGAAATGTTTACATCTGTGAGAGAGTAGCAACAGGAAATGTTTACAACATCTGTGAGAGAGTAGCAACAGGAAATGTTTACAACATCTGTGAGAGAGTAGCAACAGGAAATGTTTACATCTGTGAGAGAGTAGCAACAGGAAATGTTTACAACATCTGTGAGAGAGTAGCAACAGGAAATGTTTACAACATCTGTGAGAGAGTAGCAACAGGAAATGTTTACATCTGTGAGAGAGTAGCAACAGGAAATGTTTACATCTGTGAGAGAGTAGCAACAGGAAATGTTTACATCTGTGAGAGAGTAGCAACAGGAAATGTTTACAACATCTGTGAGAGAGTAGCAACAGGAAATGTTTACAACATCTGTGAGAGAGTAGCAACAGGAAATGTTTACATCTGTGAGAGAGTAGCAACAGGAAATGTTTACAACATCTGTGAGAGAGTAGCAACAGGAAATGTTTACAACATCTGTGAGAGAGTAGCAACAGGAAATGTTTACAACATCTGTGAGAGAGTAGCAACAGGAAATGTTTACAACATCTGTGAGAGAGTAGCAACAGGAAATGTTTACATCTGTGAGAGAGTAGCAACAGGAAATGTTTACAACATCTGTGAGAGAGTAGCAACAGGAAATGTTTACAACATCTGTGAGAGAGTAGCAACAGGAAATGTTTACAACATCTTTGAGAGAGTAGCAACAGGAAATGTTTACATCTGTGAGAGAGTAGCAACAGGAAATGTTTACAACATCTGTGAGAGAGTAGCAACAGGAAATGTTTACATCTGTGAGAGAGTAGCAACAGGAAATGTTTACATCTGTGAGAGAGTAGCAACAGGAAATGTTTACATCTGTGAGAGAGTAGCAACAGGAAATGTTTACATCTGTGAGAGAGTAGCAACAGGAAATGTTTACAACATCTTTGAGAGAGTAGCAACAGGAAATGTTTACATCTGTGAGAGAGTAGCAACAGGAAATGTTTACAACATCTGTGAGAGAGTAGCAACAGGAAATGTTTACATCTGTGAGAGAGTAGCAACAGGAAATGTTTACAACATCTGTGAGAGAGTAGCAACAGGAAATGTTTACATCTGTGAGAGAGTAGCAACAGGAAATGTTTACATCTGTGAGAGAGTAGCAACAGGAAATGTTTACATCTGTGAGAGAGTAGCAACAGGAAATGTTTACATCTGTGAGAGAGTAGCAACAGGAAATGTTTACAACATCTGTGAGAGAGTAGCAACAGGAAATGTTTACAACATCTGTGAGAGAGTAGCAACAGGAAATGTTTACAACATCTGTGAGAGAGTAGCAACAGGAAATGTTTACATCTGTGAGAGAGTAGCAACAGGAAATGTTAACATCTGTGAAAGAGTAGCAACAGGAAATGTTTACATCTGTGAGAGAGAAGCAACAGGAAATGTTTACATCTGTGAGAGAGTAGCAACAGGAAATGTTTACAACATCTTTGAGAGAGTAGCAACAGGAAATGTTTACATCTGTGAGAGAGTAGCAACAGGAAATGTTTACATCTGTGAGAGAGTAGCAACAGGAAATGTTTACATCTGTGAGAGAGTAGCAATAGGTAATGTTTACATCTGTGAGAAAGTAGCAACAGGAAATTTTTACATCTGTGAGAGAGTAGCAACAGGAAATGTTTACATCTGTGAGAGAGTAGCAACAGGAAATGTTTACATCTGTGAAAGAGTAGCAACAGGAAATGTTTACATCTGTGAGAGAGAAGCAACAGGAAATGTTTACATCTGTGAGAGAGTAGCAACAGGAAATGTTTACAACATCTGTGAGAGAGTAGCAACAGGAAATGTTTACATCTGTGAGAGAGTAGCAACAGGAAATGTTTACATCTGTGAGAGAGTAGCAACAGGAAATGTTTACAACATCTGTGAGAGAGTAGCAACAGGAAATGTTTACATCTGTGAGAGAGTAGCAACAGGAAATGTTTACAACATCTGTGAGAGAGTAGCAACAGGATATGTTTACAACATCTGTGCGAGAGTAGCAACAGGAAATGTTTACATCTGTGAGAGAGTAGCAACAGGAAATGTTTACATCTGTGAGAGAGTAGCAACAGGAAATGTTTACAACATCTGTGAGAGAGTAGCAACAGGAAATGTTTACATCTGTGAGAGAGTAGCAACAGGAAATGTTTACATCTGTGAGAGAGAAGCAACAGGAAATGTTTACAACATCTGTGAAAGAATGTGACCTAAAATGACACAAAGTGTGACACAAATGACACAGTGTGACACAAATGACACAAAGTGTGAGACAAATGACACAAAGTGTGTGACAAATGACACAAAGTGTGATACAAATGACACAAAGTGTGATACAAATGACACAAAGTGTGACACAAAGTGTGACACAAATGACACAAAGTGTGACACAAAGTGTGACACAAAGTATGACACACAAATGACACAAAGAATGACACAAATGACAAAGTGTGACACAATTGACACAAAATGTGACACAAAATGTGACAGTAATGTTGGCACATGACATGAAAGTACCTGGGTGGAGACTGATCAGGACTTGTCCTCTTGTAGGGTGGGGATGATCTTTTGCCCAACCTGGGAGGGGAAAGGTCAGATTCTGATGAATTGCTTTTCTTTTCAGATGGGTTCAAGTTCTGTGGTGTGTGTGGATCAGACAGATGACCATTGATGCCGGACTTGCTGGGAATATTGCTCTGGTCCCTGCCTGGAGGGGAGGAGTCAGACAAGGGTCTGTGTAAGCCACCAGACAGTAATGCTCTAGCTGGGGGGGATCCACCATGGTCAACACTTGCTGATGACACCATCTTTCTCATACCCCTGGATTCATATCTTTTGCTATGGTTACGAGGTGGCGAATTGTCTGAACCAGAGTCATGCCTGTTGCTATGGTTACGAGGTGGCGAATTGTCTGAACCAGAGTCATGCCTGTTGCTATGGTTACGAGGTGGCGAGTAGTCTGAACCAGAGTCATGCCTGTTGCTATGGTTACGAGGTGGCGAATTGTCTGAGCCAGAGTCATGCCTGTTGCTATGGTTACGAGGTGGCGAATTGTCTGAACCAGAGTCATGCCTGTTGCTATGATTACGAGGTGACAATTGGTCTGTAGAATTTCTGACTCTTTTATTGATGGGGGAATCAATCATATGTCTGATGGGTGATTGGTCTGGGTTATGTCTCTTTGTTTCATTCTGGACACCACTACGTTTTTCTAGCAGTTTTGACCTTGAATTCTCTTTTGATTTGCCACCAACTGATGAAGTAACATCTCTATCACTGTCATGATGGCTAGCTCTGGTAGCAATCACCCCGTAGTCCAAGGCTGAAGTGCCATCTGTAATGAGAATTTTATTCAATCAGTCAGTGCCATCTGTAATGAGAATTTTATTCAATCAGTCAGTGCCATCTGTAATGAGAATTTTATTATATCAGTCAGTGCCATCTGTAATGAGAATTTTATTAAATCAGTCAGTGCCATCTGTAATGAGAATTTTATTAAATCAGTCAGTGCCATCTGTAATGAGAATTTTATTAAATCAGTCAGTGCCATCTGTAATGAGAAATATACTAAATCAGTCAGTGCCATCTGTAATGAGAATTTTATTAAATCAGTCAGTGCCATCTGTAATGAGAAATATACTAAATCAGTCAGTGCCATCTGTAATGAGAATTTTATTAAATCAGTCAGTGCCATCTGTAATGAGAAATATACTAAATCAGTCAGTGCCATCTGTAATGAGAATTTTATTAAATCAGTCAGTGCCATCTGTAATGAGAAATATACTAAATCAGTCAGTGCCATCTGTAATGAGAATTTTATTAAATCAGTCAGTGCCATCTGTAATGAGAAATATACTAAATCAGTCAGTGCCATCTGTAATGAGAATTTTATTAAATCAGTCAGTGCCATCTGTAATGAGAAATATACTAAATCAGTCAGTGCCATCTGTAATGAGAATTTTATTAAATCAGTCAGTGCCATCTGTAATGAGAAATATACTAAATCAGTCAGTGCCATCTGTAATGAGAATTTTATTAAATCAGTCAGTGCCATCTGTAATGAGAAATATACTAAATCAGTCAGTGCCATCTGTAATGAGAAATATACTAAATCAGTCAGTGCCATCTGTAATGAGAATTTGATTAAATCAGCCATGCCATCTGTAATGAGAAATATACTAAATCAGTCAGTGCCATCTGTAATGAGAATTTTATTAAATCAGTCAGTGCCATCTGTAATGAGAATTATATTAAACAAGCTGACCAGTGACGTAGCATACGCCGCTATCTAGTTGTTTTATTTTCTACTTATCAACAGTTCATAATTTGTGAATTTGACAATACCCCCCCTGCCCCCCCCCCCCCCCCCAGTGAAAGCAGCCGTTTACAGACGACAATAAAAAGATCAAGCAGAACTTATTATCTCTCCTTAGTTTCAAATCGTCTAAAAACTAAATTATCTGCCCCTAATAGCCATCACGTATTCTAACCGGCTCTACTATTGTAAACGTTCGGGGTGAACCACAGCTCACCTGACAGTTGGGGATGATGGTGGTAGCTATGCTGCGAGGTGTTTTCTATGGTCTCCATGAAGAGAATTATATATATAGATGAGTCAGTGCTCAGATATCAACAAGTAACAACCTTTATCACAACAGAAACTAATTGTACTAAAGTGCATTGTACCATTGTGTAACATTTTAAAAATTATGTGTGAAAGCGGTTATCCAGAAATGGCATTCGTCCATTTTTATCAACTTCCCCCTTTATCATCTAAAAATGCATCTACCCATTCCCAACCCATAAAATAACATCTTAAAACCAACATTTTCTTTTTCCCCTAGAACCACATTTCTTGAATCCCCTTTTCCTATTGCACAATAAACTTAGAAACTCAAATTCCCCAAAGGATGTGTATTGATGACGTTATTAAATCTATGGACATTTTCTAGTCTATCTCAAATGCTGACTCCTCCCATGATACTAATGAAATTAATTATTAAAGGCACTGATTATAAAACAGCAACAGCTAATATTATATATCATCTTTCCCATGCTCAAATCTGTAGAGTTGTAAGTACAACAATGACCCTGGTTGGAGGAGCTGAAGACCTCACCAGATGATATCAAATTACAAAAAACTTTTCATAGAAAGCAAAGCTTTGTGCTGTAGGATTTAGTAACTGGTTGAACAGAAATACACTTGGAAGCATTAGAACTGGCTAGCATTAGCCTACCTTCATCATCCTCCCCTAAAACCTTCCAGCGGGAGTTTTTTCTGTACTGCTCCAGCAACTGCACATGTTTTGGTCTCTCATCCACCACATCAGCAACTGTTGGAGCATCATCAAACAGCTCCTCACTGGCTTGGTTGACCCGCAGCTCTTTTAGATCAATATCATCATCAATGATACGCAGCCTGCAGAGAAAAAGGTCTATATCATCATCAATGGTACATAGCCTGCAGAGAAAAAGGTCTATATCATCATCAATGGTACATAGCCTGCAGAGAAAAAGGTCTATATCATCATCAATCTAAATCTATAATGGGCCACGTTCGCACTTCTCTCTCTCTCTGTCTGTCCGCAAAATATTTTCGCCGGACATCACATCAGAATCTACAGCGATATATCGAGAACTTTTTACGGACTTTTGTTGAAAATAATATGTTAGATGTTTTAAATGTATAACCACAATTTTATTTAAAGAAGAAAAATATAAAATAAAGGTGTATTCGAATGTAGAGAAACAGTATTATTTATGCAACCGGAAAAGGATATATGGTTGTGAACAACAACGCTTAAAACTGTGACGTCACTAATGTTTATACATTAACTAATGACGTCATATGCCGTGTTTAGAATAAAAAGAAATGAACTATTTCATTCAAATTTGATTTAGATCTACGTACACTATGAAATGTACACAATACAATTTTTCCGGCCTAAACTCATAAAATTGATTTTATTTATTTGGATTCTAGATCTAGAGATTCTAGATCTAGACTAGATCTAAATCTACAAATCTATGCAATAACTAGATCGAGATGTAGACGCTAAGATCTAGATTTAGACTCTAACTTCTCTAGAATCTATTCCAAAAATAAATTTCTATATTAGGACTAAACTATTTCAAGACATAATTATTTTATACAAAATCTTTGTTTGGAACTGGCTAATTTGGGATAAAAAAAAATTAATTTGAAAGAATAGGCATATTCGCGTAAGATTTTAAAATACGTCTTTGATTCTCCATGTTTTATAAGGTGCCTATATAGCGGAGATGATAGTGTACTTAACTTAAAAAAAAATTCTATTAGGATTCTAGATCTAGATCATCCTCCCAAGTAGAGTTGCCTGAAAGAAACTCTAAATGCGACTTTAGTCATGAATGAGATCATCTAGATCTAGATCTACGGAAAAACTAGACTTACACAGATGTAGACCCTACCTAGATCTAGAATCTATTCAAACAATACATTTCTATACTAAAGTATTTCAGGCCTTAATTACTTTATTGAAATTTTTATTTATCTGTGCAATTTGCTAATCTCTATAATATATAAAGCAAAGTTGTCGGGTGTCCGATAGGGCACTTCCCGGCGCCGCAGGCGCTTCAAATTTGGCAGGATCTTGCCTTGGGGCGACAGAACACGGGGGCCGGTTGGCCGAAAAGTCTACGATGAGGGGGTCAAAACTGACTTCGACTGACCGGCGCCTTATATAAATCGAAAAACAAATGTCCAAGGAGGAACCTCTTCATAACTCTTGAGGTCGTAGACCGACCCTCGGGCAAATTAATTAAGCATTCAAATTCTCAATGTTTTCGAAAGCCTAAGCGAAGCTGGGCAGCATGCCTAGTGGTACATAGCCTGCAGAGAAAAAGGTCTATATCATCATCAATGATACGTAGCCTGCAGAGAAAAAGGTCTATATCATCATCATCATAAAAACTATGAGGATGAAAAATATAACAGTTAAATATATATGAAACATTAGTCAAATATGTCTGTAAACCAATTTTTATTATAGTTGCAGCATTTACATGGCTAATTATAACTGTTTAGTACTTTAAACATTAATTAAAAGCTACGACTGTCCGTGACCTAATTCAAATAGTATAGGTCAACCATTAGGGCCATATACAATTTCATTAGAATTGGTAATTAATAGAATGTATAACTAGAACTGGTCCATAAAACAATTTTAATGATAGATGCAGTCTTTATACAGCTACTTATAATAGATCAGATGAATTAAACATAATTAAAACCTAAGATCTAAGAATCTAGGAGTGGTAACTTAATTTTACTGTCAAGGTTGTCAAATACACAATTTTAAAAAATACGCCAGATCTAGATGCAAAACAACTTTAAAATTGAAGAAGCTTTGAAGACGTTTTGTCTATCAACAAAATCATCAAACAATGTCTGGTTTAGAGGTTTATAAACAGCGACGATTGAATATACATTTTGCAGTAAAAATCTGTTCTCCTTTATATAATATATACACCATGGTACCTCGAAACTTAAAAAGTTTTTAATTAAACTTGTCTTCAAGAAGGAGAAAATAAAAGAATTTGACACCAGGATGTGTTTAGAAATGGACATGCGTGCAGCAGATAGTGGTTGTTACATTTAGAACATCCAAACAATTTTTATATTGAGCGAAAAACAAGAGGGTGGTCGCAGGGTATCATTCTATGTCTAGGCCTAAATCTCGATCTAGACTTTTAGTAGTGAACTCTAGTAATAGATATATCTAGCTACTAGCCAGATCTAGTGGAAAGTTTTCTTTCTACAATAATTCAAGAAGTCTAAATAAATTAAAAATAATAATAATAGGCCCTACTAGAGCAAGATATTGAGATAGGCCAACTACATAGATCTATAGGCCTATTTTAACTATTTGGTAATCTTTGGTTTTAGGTACGTAAAATCGCCCGCGACTAGTAATGTGAAAAACAGGCGACTCCTTACATTTTAATAATTATTTCACATTTTGAGGAGGATTTATGTTTTGAAAAATACAAAAATGTTTCCTTGTTTCATTTATGTAGGCCTACCTGTTTTTAAACAATTGAATTAAAACTTTTCAATAATAAATGAATACTAGCGATATTTCCAACAGATGCAACCATGCTCATTTACTATAGCAGCCATCTTGTTTAAGTTCTTTCTTTGTTAACTTATAGTGTGAGATTCAGGGGAAGGCAACTCTATTTTACAAATGGCTGCTGTTTATATAGGAAATCCTGCTCCCAAACACTGCTGTTTAAAGTTTATTTCTTGCCTATATTGATATATTTAGCTATTGATTTAGGTTTATTATTCATTTATCTATAATATTTGACACAAATATATCACAATATACTTCTATTAAAGCCTTGACAATGAGGTAATTTTTTCGTACGTTACTAGCCGCGGGCGATTTTACGTACCCAAAACGATAGATTACCAACGATTTATTATATATGCCTAGACCTATATATATATATAAAATACTATAATAATATAATAAATATATGACATAGGCCTAAATTCCTATAGGGCCTATTTAATAAAATTTAATTAGGCCTATATGGTCCATCAATAACTACTAGATCAATATATCTAGATCAGTGGTCCCCAACCTTTTTCGAGTGGCGACCCCCTTTTATAAAAATTAAGTGACCCGCGACCCCCATAGAATTAAAAAGCCGAAATTAGTATGGAAATTAATAAGCACTAAAATAAGATTTTCTAGTAGACTTTCAATATGAACTACTCTTGATAACTGTTTTAATAGCATGAGTAAAATTGCATACTATTCACTAAACCTTCGTGGTTAAGTTTTTAATTTTTTTTAAAATTTGCTAACGCCAACCTATGTCATTGTAATTATCTTAATTTTGTTTTTAATCGAAGAACAGTGTTGAAAATATATTCTCGAAAAGTCAATCAATTTTACGTTTGGGTATGAATGGTGCATACTACACCAAAATTGTGTCTGCAGTTTTTCATCTTACACGGAATCATTCTGCAAATCAAAGAATTCATCTTGTAATTCATCGGGAATGCTGGCAACATCAAGGGAAGAAGAGAATGGGTAATGCGTAAATGCATATTCTTCTTTTTTCAACTCAGAGAAATAGCGATACAGTTCATTTTCAAGAGATTCAAGATGCCCAGAAATAGCTTCTCTCAAAATTTTAATTATCTCACAATCAGATTCATCTACCACACCGCAGAGTTTCTCAAATTTACAATATTTCCAAGATTTGTTTTCTTTACCGATTTTGCAGCTTTGATAAAAATGCCCAGAGATTATCATGGAAAGTTATAATATTCGTTCATTTTCCCTGAAGCTTCAGGTTAAGCTTATCTTGATGTTCGAACATATCTGCTAGGTTTGATACTCTCTCCAACCACTCTATGTCGTTTTAAGTATACCAAAAAGTCTTGTTTTCAGATTTGATTTCAGATTTCAATTCAAAAACACAATTTACAACATTTCGTTTGACAGCCAGCGTACTGTAGTGTAGAAGAGAAGAACCTCGTGATCTATATTAATGTTTTTGCTCAGTTCTTTGAAGGCTCCAGATTTTATATAATTTACGACTTATACTAGCTATGGACTCTTGATGTCAATTGGTTAGGGCAGTGGTTAGGGAGCTAAATCTTTTGTTTTCTGAAAGCCCGATTTTGAGCTAAACATAGATGGTGCACCATCCGTACAAACCCCCACAGCCGTTCTTACCCAATTTAATCATCCTGTTTCAAAAAAGATATTTATTTTCTCCATGCTATCTTCACAAAAGAGCAACTCTTTTATCTTTGCTATCATCCGCATGAATATAGACACAGACCAGCAAATGCGAACACGAACTCAACTTAAAAAGCAAACAATGGTGAAAGCTTAATTTCAATAAAAATGTGTTATTTAACATTTACGTACATGCAGCGTCTGACGAGATTTTCTCCAATTGTTTTTTTTTTTTTTTTTTTTGCTTGGCATTTTCTATCGCGATTTCATTTGATGCTTGCACTAAAGCTGGTGAAAACTTCCTGTTCGATCAAGTCTCTGGCGTTTGCAACTAGCTTCTTATCAATGAAAGAACTCCATATATTTTTTGGTGTGTTCCGAATGACTCGTCTCAAATGACATTTTAGTTTTGAAGATTTCATAGATTCGTGAATGAGAACAACTTTGTACAGTGCGCTTTGTTTCTTCTCTATTACATTTCCAGTGATGTTAGTAAAGCCGAATTTCAAAAATTCTTCTAAATATTTATGTTTTATTTCAAATTAATAAGGTTTAGTATACCAGTTGGCGACCCCCGAGAAAGACCTTCGCGACCCCCGGGGGGTCACGACCCCCAGGTTGGGAACCCGTGATCTAGATCTATCATCATACTTCTGGGTAATCTATCGTTTTAGGTACGTAAAATAGCCCGCGACTAGTAATGTGAAAAACAGGTGACACCTTACATTTTAATAATTATTTCACATTTTGAGGAGGATTTATGTTTTGAAAAATACAAAAATGTTTCCTTGTTTCATTTATGTACCTGTTTCTAAACAATTGAATTAAAACTTTTCAGTAATAAATGAACACCAGCGATGTTTCCAACAGATGCAACCATGCTCATTTACTATAGCAGCCATCTTGTTAAAGTTTTATTTTTATAGACTTATAGCGCAAGATTCAGGCGGAAGTCACTCTATTTTACAAATGGCTGCTGTTTATATAGCAAATCTTGCTTGCAGACACTGCTGTTTAAAGTTAATTTCGGGCCTATATTGATATGTTTAGCCATTGATTTAGGTTTATTATTCATTTATCTATAATATTTGACACAAACATATCACAATATACTTCTATTACAGCCTTGACAATGAGGTAACGTTTTCGTACATTAATAGCCCAAAACGATAGATTACCTACTTCTGTCTGCTAGAATCTAGATCTAGATTCGATTCTAGAGTCTAGCTACGAAAACTATGAAGTTTTATGCATTTTATTAATTTTATGGACTAGATCTAGAATCTAGATTTAGCCTACGGCTACTAGTCAAACTAGTCTAGTTTAGTTACTAGATCTAGATCTAGTTATACTAGATCTAGTAGTAGTAGTACTACTAGAAGATCTATCTAGAATCTAGATCTAGAATATCTAGATCTAAATCTGATTTAGGATCAGTTATTTTAATTGTTATTTTGAATCCTCACTTAGACTCTTTAGGTGTTTTGATTTTTCTTCTTTTCTTTTTCTTTTCTTCTTTTGGCAATTCATCATTTGACAAATAACGTTTTAGATAATCTGCCTTACTCATGCCTGGTGAAGACATCTAGATCTAGATCTAGTCTAGAATCTAGTCTAGATTCTAGATCTAGACGAAACTGTAGACTGGATCTCAAATATTTATTCTATAGATAGCCTAGATCTATATTTTTAGATCAGATCTAGATAGGACTAGATCTAGATTTTCTAGATATCTAGATTCAATCTACAAATTTAAATCTGGACTCTAGAAATTAAAAACAACAGCACAGCGGAAATAAGGTAGATTCTAGATCTAGCGCCTAAACGTAGTTTTCTTTAAAAAAGAAGGGTGTTGGGAAATTGCGAGACGCGAAAAGCGAAATGGCGAGGCGGGAAAATGCGAGAAGGGCGCGAAAATGGTCGGTCACGTAACTTTTAGTCTCGCATATTTCCACAACCCGATATTTACGCTGGGTGGTGTTAAGATGCAAAGATTTCTGCGAAAAATTTACCGCACCCGATTTACAGTGGTATTTGGTGCAGACTTCAAAGACGTTTCGTTTACATTGTTAAAACTTCCGATTTTTCCGTCGCTAGACATACTGATGATTTTTTAACTCCCCCCCCCCCCTCTTTTGTGTCGACCATGTTCGAAACCGCCCGATAGATCAACTTCTTTCTTTTGTGTGGAACGCCGAGGCCGCCTGCTTTACCGTCTTTGAAGATCACCGTGCCCGAATCCACTGCCGCCGCAAACATATTTTGTATTGTTGCATAGAAATTTTGTATTATAGCCGCCGCCTACGTTTTTTTTTCTAGCTATTTTACCATATAAATATAAGCACAAGAATTAGAAAAATGTTAGAAAAAGAATTTTAGACGGTATTTCGCTTTTTAGAAAACTGTTTTAATAAATTGTAATAGGAATTTATTAAAATACTCTATTTTGACAGAAATTAGACAAGATTTGGGGAAAATATCGATGTTAAAAAAAAATTCAACTGCAATTTTGAGGGGGGTTGTAGGCTGAGGTGTGACGTCATTTTATTGGGGGGGGGGGGGTCTGGATTTTCGTGACGATGTGTGGGGGAGGGGGGGGGGGGGTAAATATCGTCAAAAAAGCGTGACGTCATTTGTGGATGACCCCTTTTAGCTATTAAATGGTAGTTTTGTCGATAGCGGACTTTATTCAGATTATCTACAGACGCACTTTTTTTTTTCATTCTGTTCATATTCGTGTTCTGTGTTAGCACAGATATAAATTACCATCAGTAACTTCGTTAATCTTTTTCTTCAGAAAAATGGAAGAGTTAGGGGTAATCCATAAATGACGTCACGCTTTTTTGGGACGATTTTTACCTCCCCCCTCCCCTCCGTCACACGTCGTCACAAAAAGCCAGACCCCCCCTAAAATGACGTCACTTCTCAACCTACAACCCCCCCCCCCCTCAAAATTCCAGTTGAATTTTTTTTAAACATCGATATTTTTCCAAAATCTTGTCTAAACTATTACAATTAATTAAAACAGCTATCTAAAACGCGAAATAACGTCTAAAATTCGTTTTCTAACATTGCTTTTTTATAATGCAAAAATGTGACGTCGCAACATCTGAACCCCTCCCCCTCCCCGCTCATCACACATCGTCACAAAATTACGGACAAACCCTCCCCCCTACGAGTGTGAAGTCATTTATGGGTGACCCCTTATTTAACTCATTACCTGTTGAATTCTTGGTAAGACATAGACCTCCAAGTGGAACCACCTATATTTATACGTGGACAGAAGATAAAAACAAAGGTGAGCAATCTATGTATTAAATCCCAGACAACATTCATTCATGACGTCCAAAAAAGAAATTTATAACAACCCCCACCCCCGCATTTCCGCCCAATAACTATTAACCAATACAGATTTGATTTGCAGTCATGCTGTACAGTAATGCAGCAATGTAGAAAAATAATTGTTTTAAACGTTTACATCAGGCGCTATTTTTTTTATATTAAAGGCTCGTCCATTAGCGACGTCAAGCATAATCATTAACATTTTTAAGGCATGCTGTGTGTATTGTGAGGGAGGAGGGGTGCTTTCTTTATACTTCTTACGTTTCCGTGGTTTATTTTCACAAGAACACTTATATATGTAGAAAGCTAGTTTATTACATGTAAGCATTTCTATGTCCACTTTAAATAGAACCCCCCTCCCCCATTTCACACACCCGTGTATCAAATTACCTTACCTATTTGTCGTATCAAACTTATAAATTTCTTGTAATTGTCAGATGACTGGATAGCCGATAGTTCTAGATGGAGACAAGGTGGCGACGAAACAGTGGCTAGGGACTTTGCACATGGCAATGCCAGCAAATCGACCAAAAATTATGTTAGAACACAACCTGGCGTTCTGAACAAAATCAAAGAAAGCTGGGGTAGTGGAACAGCTCGTAAGGTCTATCAAACGCTGGTAGAGGAAGGAAACCCGTCAAGTTCTACATCAGTCCCTCGTGATCAAGAGCAAGTCCGTTGTGCATTGAAGGCAAGTAGCAAAAAATTTAGACTATCAAGGGATGCCTTGTGTAATTTGCATGAAATTGCCTTGGATACCAATTTCGTTCGTCACATCACGTCCCACCCAGACCTAACTCTTGTAATGTGGATGGATGAGACCATTCAAATATTTCGGGACATTTTAAAGAAAACGAACAGTTGTCTTATGACACGACATTCTGCCTAGGGGATTTTTACGTCTCAGTGCTTTTGTTTCGTGAAACGGAATTCACGAATGAACCAGTTATACCACTTGCCTTCATGATTCATGAAAGGAAAACAACAAAGACTCATGAATTTTTTTGGCAACACATCAAGTCTGTTTGCCCAGAGCTGAATACCTCTAAGTCTAAGCAAGTAATTATAGTCACAGACCATGAAAAAACTATAATTGATGCGACCCAGGGCAGTTTTCCAAATCTGCAGCGTTTTATGTGTTGGAACCTGTCACAGGCTTTTCTCCTACCTATTACATGGCACACACTCAAAAACAAAATCAACCCTTGTTCCTGTAATTTCCATAACTTTATTGGTTCAAAAGAGCATCGCATTCACCTCCAGACATCGCCATGTTGTTCGCGCGCTATCCTTTCGCGCATGCGCACACCCACACTATATTTTATATTTTATCTCGCCTTTTTAATACACACACTCGCAACATACAATAATATACATTTAACTGTTATAGAACCATGTACTGCACGACTGCAAGCGATGGCTTAGGTCCCATGGGGTACAGTCATCTGATGAAATGGCATATTATATTGACACTGTAAGATCCCTTCTGCAGGCAACAAGTGAAGAAGAATACAAGGATAACTTCATATCTCTTATTTCCAGATGGAGCTTACATTTTACAGAGTATTTCAGCAAAAATGTTCACCCATCAATGAACAAAGTGGGCTCTTGGGTCTTAGCAGATTATGGCCTTTCCGAAATCTCAGCGAACCAAAGTGAATCGTTTAATGCTGTACTTAAAAGAATTCATAACTTGGAGGAAGCGCCTGTTGACGCTATGGTCTTGAGCCTCTTCAGGCTTGGACAGTTCTACGTCACAGAAACTTACAGAGGACGAAGGCTCATGAGAAATTGGCTTCTTAAGGATGATCTTGTTCATCTGTATAGGGAGGAGCATACCGCCATTCCGCCTGCAGTTAACCCCGATGACATTGTTGAAAGAATTCGAGAGAACTTACATCAAGAAGCAGCCTTAGTAACTGCACCCATAGGGAAGGACTGTTTGCCTGTTTGTTCAACTGTTGCCAAAAGGGCACAATTCGTGCTTGACAATGAACTGATAAGTTTAAATACTAAACTTGGTGTGTCCACCATTAAAAGGTCAACAGACCCCTGGGTGGTCACCCTTTTCCCAAGGGAAACATGTTCATGTTCGGCCGTCGGTAACTGTTACCACATCGTGGCAGCCAGACAGGGAGTTGGATTCCACAGGTATGTCTCGCATTATCTTCTCGCATTTTCCCGCCTCGCCATTTCGCTTTTCGCGTCTCGCAATTTCCCAACAACCAAAAAAGAATCAGATAGGCCTAGCTACTAGCTAGGCTCGATCTACTTTAGATCTATATCCAGGACCAGTGGCACTTAAAAAAATAATTTGCAATATAAAATGATTAGTAAAACAGTATTTAATATACGATCTACTATTTAACATGCAATAAATATCAATATATCCAAATTTTAGGCCTATACGTTGTGTATTAAAAATAAAAGATAGCGCCAAATAAGTATGGTTTACAGTACTTCGGC